TCGTCTTTGACTTGTAGCAATGTCTTTGCAGAGGACCAGTTTACAGAACCTCTGTGAGACATGACAGAGGTTCTGTCACTTGAGACTTGTACGCTTGAGCATCTTCTGCTGTTGGTCCTCTGTGGTCTTCTGTGACAGATCATCTTCTGTCAATACTCGCAGTTTACTTTTTCTATACTTTCTATACTTTTACATTGATCTCCCATCTGGATTTCTAATGGCTTTCTAAGGTTATCTCCATACCTCTTTTGACGATCTTTTGCAGCCTGAAGTCCATCCTTAATAATTGAGATCTTGTCAGTAGGCTCTTGTACAATATCGGGCCTTGTCAATTGTTTGTCGCCAATTTCTAACCAACTAAGGGGGATCTACACTTGCATCCGTATAAGGCTTCATATGGTGCATACTGAATGCTGATGTGATAATTGTTGTTGTATGAGAACTCAACTAATGGTAGGTGGGCATCCCAGCTTCTACCAAAATCTAAGACACATGTGCGTAGTGTATCTTCTAATGTTTGTATATTTCTCTCTGTTTGTCCGTCCGTTTGAGGATGATAGGAAGTGCTCAAGTCCAAACGTGTACCCAACGCTTTCTGGAGTGATTGCCAAAATCATGATGTAAAACGACTATCTCTATCCGAGATGATGGAAATAGGTACCCCATGACGCGTAACGATTTCATTGATGTAAATTTGGGCAAGCTTTTCCATCTTGTAATCATCCCGAATAGGAAGAAAATGCGCAAATTTCGTAAGTCGATCAACTACAACCCAGATTGAGTTGTGTCCCTTCCCAGTTTTGGGTAACTTGGTTATGAAATCCATAGTTATTTGTTCCCACTTCGGAATCTCGTGTTGCTGGAGTAGACCGAATGGTTTTTGGTGCTAAGCCTTGACTATTGCATAAGTTAAGCACTTATTCACATACAGGGCAATGTCTTTCTTCATTCCAGGCCACCAATAGTGTTCCCTAAGATCCTTATACATCTTATCCGCTCCCGAGTGAATTGAATATTTTGATCGATGGGCTTCGTCCAAAATCATTGGTCTAAGGTTGCCAATCTTAGGTAACCAAATCTTATCTCCCAAATAACACACTCCATCTGGTTTCAGTTGAAACTTAGTCTCCATGTGGTGTACGGTCTTATTCTTCAAATTCTCTTCCTTTAATGCTTCTTTTTGGTCCTCAAGAATTTGTGCTTTCAAATTTATGTTTACTAATGCTCCCAAAGCTCGCACCCTTGATGGTTTCACTCTTTCCTTCCTACTTAAGGCATCGGCTACTACATTGGCTTTGCCGGATGGTACTTAATTTCACAGTCGTAATCACTAAGTAACTCAACCCATCTTCTTTGTCTCATACTTAACATTTTCTGGTTGAAGATGTGTTGAAGGCTTTTGTGATCAGTGAAGACAGTGCACTTGGTATCGTAAAGGTAATGTCTCCAAATTTTAAGCACAAATACTACGGCTCCTAGTTCTAGGTCGTGTGTAGTATAGTTCTTCTCATGCATCTTGAGTTGTCTTGAGGCATATGCTATGACCTTGTGTTTTTGCATTAGCACGCATCCTAAACCTTGATGTAATGCATCACAATAAACTACAAAGTTTTCCGATCCCTCCGGTAAGGTCAAAATAGGTGCATTGCATAGCCTATGCTTAAGAGTATCAAATGCTTCTTCTTGTTTCTCTCCCCAAACAAACTTCTTGTCTTTCTGAGTTAAGGCAGTGAGTGATTGAGCAATTTTTGAAAAATTCGCAATGAATCGCTGATAGTAGCCTGCCAAACCAAGGAATTGAGAAATTTCCATCTGGGTCCTCGGGGCCTCCCATTTCTTAACAACCTCAACCTTTGTCGGATCAACATGAATTCCTTTTTCATTCACCATGTGGTCAAGAAATTATACTTCACGAATCCAGAATTTTCATTTAAAGAACTTTGCATACAATTTCTGATCAGTAAGTAACTTCAGTATCAATCTTAGGTTATGCTCATGATCCTCCTTGCTTTGTGAATAAATTAGTATGTCATCTATAAAGACGATTATGAATTTATCTAGGTAAGGTCTGCAAACCATATTCATTAGATCCATAAAGATAGTCGGGTGCATTGGTTAACCCGAATGGCATAACCAAATATTCAAAATGGCCGTACCGGGTCCTAAATGTCATCTTGGGGATGTCCTCTTCACGGACTCTCACTTGATGATATCTGGATCGAAGATCGATCTTTGAAAAGTATACGACACCTTGAAGTTGATCGAATAAATCGTCGATTCGAGGATGAGGGTATCGATTCTTGATGGTCAACTTATTTAGCTCCCTATAATCGATGCACATTCGCATTGACCCATCTTTCTTTTTGACAAACAGGACTGGTGCTCCATATGGTGAAAAACTAGGTCTTATGAATCCTTTATCCAACAATTCTTGGAGTTGCCTCGATATTTCTTGCATTTCTGATGGAGCCAAATGATATGGTGATTTTGCCACCGGGGCCGCTCCTGGAATTAAGTTGATACCAAATTCGACTTGTCTTGGTGGGGGTAGTCCTGGTAAATCCTCGGAAATACTTCAGGAAACTCTCGAACTACAGGGAAATCGTCAATGCATTTTTCTTTGACCTTCTTGTCTATAACGTGTGCCAAAAATGCAACGTAATTCTTTTTTAAGTACTTCCGCATCTTCATGCATTATACTATCTTAATCTTCCGGTTGGACTTATCTCCTTGAACTATGAGTGTTTCACCTCCTTCTTGTGGAATTCGGATAATCTTTTTCGAACAACCTATTGCAGCTTCATTTTTAGATAGCCAATCCATGCTTACAACTATATCAAAACTTCCGAGCTCGATCGGAATAAGGTCTATGGTAAAATCCTTTTTGGTTAAACTTAGAGCGTAGTCCAAGATTACGTCTCTAGCCCTAACTTCCTGACCATTGGCAAATTCTATTACGCAGACCACTTCCAACTTTTGAGGCTTTAAGTCAATTTTCGGCTTAAAATCTAAAGATACAAAACTTTTATCTGCTCCCGAATCAAATAATGCTGATGCAAAATGAATATTCAAGAGATACGTACCTGTGACTACGTTGGGATCATGCCTAGCCTCCTTTGCTCCGATCTCCAAGGCTCGGCCCTGTGCTTCACCTCCTGGGTTTCCTTGATTGGCTGGTTGGCTGGTTGTGCTTGGTTAGCATTCATTCTTTGTTTCTTCTTCGGACAATCATTTCTCATATGGTCCAGACTTCCACACTCAAAACACGATCGTCTTCGGCAATCCTTTGTGAGATGGCCTCCTTTGTGGCATTTTTAACAAACGATACAATTCCCCCAATGCCGGTATTTACATTTGATGCACTTAGGTTTATTTCCTTGGCCTACCACCTGCGTCTGAACCCCAAAATTTCCTACTACCTTCCGATTCTTGGCAAATCTTCCTCCAGATCGTTGGTTCTCATGTCTTTCTACCTTTCTCTTTCCCTTGGCGAATTCTCCTGACCGAACAGCATTATTGATAAGCTTGGTTGCTATGTTTATCGCCTCTTGAAGGGTCGTCGGGTTTGCCGAGGTGATATTTCCATGAATTTCCGAAGACAAACCCCAAATGTATATCTCGACTCGAACTTCTTTGGGTGTCACAAGATGTGGCACTAATTTTGCTAATTCATGGAATCGAGCAGTATAAGTATCTATGTTCTTCCCCTTCATCTCGTGGTTCCACAATTCCATTTCTAACTTTTGCAGTTCACTCCTCGGACAGTATTCATCCTTGAGTAGTTTCTTGAACTCCTCCCACGAAAGTTGGTTAGCCGCTTCCCGTCCCCTAGTTTGTACTAGAGTGTTCCACCATGTAAGTGCTCGGCCTTGCAATAAACATGCAGCGTATTCTACCTTATTTGCTTTGGTGCATCTACTGATGTGAAGGAATGATTCCATACCTTCGATCCATGTCAATAATCCTACTGCTCCCTCGGTTTCATGGAATTCCTTTGGGTTGCAGGATCTAAAGGATTTGTAGGTGCGTTCTCTAGGTGTTCTAGGCCTTGAATTGGTTGGTTGGTTAGCATTCAAATCTGCTGCTACTTGACTGACAATATTTGGGACTGCCGCTAATAGTTGTTTAGATACAAGTTGTGCAACCTCGGGATTCTCTCTCCTTCTAGACATTTTCTAGAGCCTAAATCAAATGGATATTGTGACACCCCAGGCCACTCATTGCATGTAACACATATTTCATTCACTTATCTGTTGAGAGATAAATTGTGACACCCCAGACCACACATTGGATGTAACACATATTTGATTCACAAGAAATACATGTTTATAAACCATTCAGGTCTCTTAGTACAAGAATCTACTATACAGAATACATAATCCAAAGATTCAAAATACAATTCTTGTACTATTCATCCTTCTTGTATCAAAACTATACACATTATGAGCAAATCTTCAAACATACATGCATAACGGAAAACATCACGTTTTCCCCTTCCCCTTACCGTCCGCACCTCCTGCAACACATATTTAAAATCACAAATTGAGGGTTAGACCTGAAGGTCTAGTGAGATCCTTTTTTCTATGTCATTGCAGGGTGAAAATCACCAAAACTTTAATTAAAATAACTTTTCATATATATATATAACACAATATATGAAAAAGTAAAACATAATACCAATACCTTTCCAATTCCAAAGCCAATCTCTCGGGTTTTAAATAACACATCCAACCCCAAATAGGTTTATACCAACCAGGTTTCTCTTAATGCCACTTCTAAACCTTTTGAAATAAAACGAGGTTTATTCAAAGTTTCAGGCCAAAAACCTGTTATCAACTTCTCAATAACATCCAGACTTGATTTCCAATAAGAACCCTGATCCTAAACCTTTATATCACAAAGAAATAAGGATTTATGATCACAGTAATCTTATAGGATATAATAGAAAGAGTTATATCTGTTGGAACCCAAATACTCTTAACTTGTAGAAAACACAGTTGATAAATAATAAGGTTGATAAGCAAACAGTGAATCGAAGATGATTAAACGAAATATTCAAAATATATAAGAATAGTGAAAGGACATGAATATGTTGAATGCTTTTATTCGATGAAAGTAAAGAACAATCAAACTAAAATGTAATCTTACAATAAAATAGGTATAGTATAAGTCGGCACTCTCAGGTTGTTTGAACCTGAGGAAGAAGCCTTCTTATATACGCCTAGATCTAACAGCTAAGCTATAATTAACGCTTGAATCTCCGAGTTGCCAAGTCTACGTCCTTATATTTAACATCCCTTAAAAAGCAGAGCAGACTAGGTCATGCAGCCTCAAATCTGTTGGACGCTTGCGAGAAATTCTAGGATTGCATGCGCATTCCATGGAGAAGGTGACCAGAAGCTCTGTATGTGCTATACAGAAGCTATGCATGTACTATACAGAGGTTCTGTATATGTAGAGGCTCTACATGTACTATGCAGAGGCTCTGTGTCTCGGAGTTGTAGCTTTGCATCAAGCGTTTATGCTTTTTGGTGCATAAGGCTTGATCGTCCACGGAGATTGAGCGTGGGCTCTGTATGAATGGAACCTTCACTCTTTGAGTAAGAGCTCTGGTTCTTGACCTCTTCTGCATGAGAGCTCTTTGTCCAGACCGCTTCAATAGACCAAGTCCTATTCACTAGAGTGAGAGACTCTTACTTACACTTTCACAAGTTGGGGTCTAACAATCTCCCCCTAAGTGTAAATAAGGCAGACTCTTACTTGAATTGAAACACATAAGTCTAGTCGAAGCCAGAGGTTAAAAGGAACCTTTGTTTTACATTCACTATCTAGAAAGTACAATAAGATTTGAATGGACATTACATTGACTTAAAAGATAAAAAAACATACAAAATAAGGTCTAGATTTGTTGATGTTTGATGAACCTCCTAAGAAGTTCACGAAACTATTGGATGTTGTGAATTGACCTCAGGATGATTTTTACTATTTCTTTTGCTCCAGGGGAGGTGTCTCTGCTCTAGACTAAGTGATCTCTGATGTAGTGTAGAGTAGAGTTTGAATACTTGTAGTTCTGGTCACTCGAAAAAATATCTTCCTTCCTTGTGTATTTCAAAAGACCACCCCCACCTCTAGTTCCACCAACACAGTCCATCAGTGAATGCTATTGAGGCCCTACAGATCTTCGTTCGGTGCAGTGACGCTCAATTGATCCACTCCAAGGTCTAGAGCTACTTGAAAGTCAAACTTGCATCTGAAGTCGAGTAGGTCTGTCATAGTGTGTCGTATAGCAGAATTGGCCACAACATATTTGAGTCCCTTATCCTTCTCATGATCCGTGAAGAAATACAGAGACAGAAGGTCCCATGGATTCAGATTTATAAGACCACAATCTGTGAACGTACAAATCTGTCTGTGAGACCTCTCCACCGTATACTCATGGAAGACGATATGGTTATGCATGAAGGTACGTTTCTTGATGTCGAGGATTTGCTTGATTCCATCGACAAAGTGGACTGCAGAGATAGTCTGTGTGTATCGATGTAGAAACCTCTGCTTGATGTTCTCTTGGACCATTGGATGGAGACTGATCTTGATGACTGGTGTCTCCTCTCGCAGGCTTTAAAGAAACTGGTCGATGTCCTCGCTGTCTGCCTTGTCCTTTATTGGCTTGTCTAGGGGTGTTGGCATCATTATTGCATTCATGTTATCCTTGATCTTTTGAACTCGATCATAGGGATGCTTTCTTTTTGGTCTGCTGCTTGCGCTTTCTTCTGCTCTTGTTGGTTTGACAGGGACCCTCTGCCTCATTGTCGGACTGACTACTCTGGTCCTTTGAGCAGAAGGTGATGGCTCTGCACAAGTTATGTTGAGTTTTCACTCTTCCAAAGAGCACAGCAAAGTGGTGGCAAAGGACTGGAACACGTCCTTTGTGACATAGGCTGTCGGGGTAACCTCTGGCTCAACACATGGGCCACAGATTTAGTCCTTGTTCCAAGGACACCTTCTTTCTTGACTTGATTGATGTTAGTCAAGGAAGGATTTCCAGCAGATCCTTGTGGCTCTCCTCAAGGACAAGTCACTAATGTTGTTCTGTCATGAAGAGTATCCAAGGCAGGTTCAGAGCCAGCCAGAGGACTCTCCACGTCTTGTGCACCTAACCCTTGCTCTGAAAAAGGTGGGAAATCTACATGTGTAGAGGAAACAAATTGTTTCGTATGGGATAGTGGCGTGATATGGGGAGACAAATCACTTATTCTTTCAATGGTTTCACCCTTTTGAGAGGGCGCTACTGTCACACCCCGCTAAAGCGGAAACGCGAGGTATGGCAGGTAGAGTCTCATAGCAATAGTGTATAAACAACACAACCATACAATTTAAAATCATAATTACATCAAAACTAAAGTTTACAGTCCCAAATACAAATTTACAAAATAAACATAAAAGAAGTTTTGAAATCGATAAATGTGACACGTCTTCTAACAAGTGTCACCATGAGTCTTTCTTACCCTGTAAAAGCATGTCAAACAAGTGTCAACTACAAGAGTTGGTGAGTTCACAGGTTT